GGAAACACATGAGTCAGAGGCCATATGTAAACCATGAATTGTTTATTACTTTTTGGTTAATTGGATGTTTTGTCTGTAGGCTCTAACACTGACCTGTTCTCTTCCACAGTTTTCTGCTTTTGTTATTCCTCATATAGACATCTATCCATAGACTTGGAAAAAAGACAGGGAGAGAGACTGATAATGCTGTTTCAACTACAGTTGAACCTGATGAAATCTCACACAACAAAGAGACAAAGTAAATCTTTTACTTGTTACATTTTACAAGGAGAAAGTCTTGACAGAGGCCAGGCACAGAGCCCAGCCTCTCTCAGGACAAGTCTGAAGATTCACAGATGGCAAGCCCCTTTTGGTTGAGCAAGACACACCTTCGTATGCAGATGGGAAAGGAAGAAACCAACACAACAAAAGACACTTGAGACATTAGCATCCTCAAAACCTGCTTCCTCCTGGCATCTGCATACAACCCCCAAGCACTCTAAAGTCAACAGTGGATTACAATACAGACAGTATAGAATTCAGCCACAAATGATTTAGCAAAATGATAACTTAAGTTACATTCCAATATCAGAGACCAGAGAGAGAGGCCAGCGAGAGAGAGGCCAGCGAGAGAGGCCAGCGAGAGAGACCAGAGAGAGAGACCAGAGAGAGAGACTAGAGAGAGAGGCCAGAGAGAGAGGCCAGAGAGAGAGGCCAGAGAGAGAGGCCAGAGAGAGAGGCCAGAGAGAGAGGCCAGAGAGAGAGGCCAGAGAGAGAGACCAGAGAGAGAGACCAGAGAGAGAGGCCAGAGAGAGGGCCAGAGAGAGCAGAGCCAGAGAGAGAGCCAGAGAGAGAGAGAGAGAGAGACCAGAGAGAGAGACCAGAGAGAGAGACCAGAGAGAGAGACCAGAGAGAGAGACCAGAGAGAGAGAGAGAGAGGCAGAGAGAGAGGCCAGAGAGAGAGAGAGCCAGAGAGAGAGACCAGAGAGAGAGACCAGAGAGAGAGACCAGAGAGAGAGACCAGAGAGAGAGACCAGAGAGAGAGGCCAGAGAGAGACCAGAGAGAGAGACCAGAGAGAGAGACCAGAGAGAGAGACCAGAGAGAGAGACCAGAGAGAGAGAGAGAGAGCCAGAGAGAGAGGCCAGAGAGAGAGGCCAGAGAGAGGCCAGAGAGAGAGGCCAGAGAGAGGCCAGAGAGAGAGGCCAGAGAGAGAGGCCAGAGAGAGAGGCCAGAGAGAGAGGCCAGAGAGAGAGCCAGAGAGAGAGACCAGAGAGAGGACCAGAGAGAGACCAGAGAGAGAGACCAGAGAGAGAGACCAGAGAGAGAGACCAGAGAGAGAGACGACCAGAGAGAGAGACGACCAGAGAGAGAGACGACCAGAGAGAGAGACGACCAGAGAGAGAGAGACCAGAGAGAGAGACCAGAGAGAGAGACCAGAGAGAGAGACCAGAGAGAGAGGCCAGAGAGAGAGAGACCAAAGAGAGGCCAGCGAGAGAGAGGCCAGCGAGGGAGAGGCCAGCGAGGGAGAGACGACCAGAGAGAGAGACGACCAGAGAGAGAGAGACCAGAGAGAGAGACCAGAGAGAGAGGCCAGCGAGAGAGACCAGAGAGAGAGAGACCAGAGAGACCAGAGAGAGAGAGACCAGAGAGAGAGAGACCAGAGAGAGAGAGACCAGAGAGACCAGAGAGACCAGAGAGACCAGAGAGAGAGACCAGAGAGAGCCAGAGAGCGAGGGAGACCATAGAGAGAGAGGCCAGAGAGAGAAACTGAGAATACTCCCAACCATCATATTGGCGTGTCCATAAAGCATTCGCCACGGTCTTTAAATGTCTCAGTAGTGTGTAGTGTCCCAGATATTTGTATTCCTCTGTTTTGCTCAGTGGGATTTTCCTAGAGGAAGGAATAGGAAGACTTTGGGGTCCTCATTTCTCCTGCAAATGTTACGTCAAATTCATATCCATAGCCAGGGAGGGGCTCTTGTAATCCTGCATTGTAAGGAACTAAGGACGGACAATAACCAAATCAAAGTGGTTGAGGATTGTGGAACCATCTCTACAACTCTATATAACTCTTTATGAATAGTTTATATGCAAAAACAGATAAGTGCCATGAAAACACATTGGAAAAGCTTACAATTTTGTCTTCACCAAGTAGTTTTGTGAAAAGCCTAAATCTATTTTAGTGCCATACAGATAAAGTTTCACCGCTTGCTGCGCAAATTCTTTCAAGTGTACTGCCGTTATGAGAACATGTTGAAGATTATAACTGGACGAATCTGGTCAAAATTTCAAAACAGAGATATGAACTGATAATACACTTCTCCTAATATACTGTGATTATTTAATATCTTTTGTGTGGTTGTTTTTAGCGTGTTTCGTTCTGCACTTTGAGTTCCCTTGTGTGTTAACTGTCCTATTTGCTTATAACTCCATATAACCTGGCAACACACACACACACACACACACACACTCAAAAACAGTTAGATATTTTCAATGACACAATATTCTTTCTCGGCTCCTTTTCCACTTCTGCTGCTGGCTACAAACTCTGATCTACAGCCTCAAACTTGTACAGACTCATATCGATTCTCATAACTTGTTTTGGAATCTGTAATGTTATAAGTCCTGCTGTTACATGTGGAGGCAGCGACAGAGGGTTGCAAAGTGAGACTATAGGGCTGTATCTGACGGTTATGTTCATACTGGATTCGAAGAGAAAGATTCTTCCTTCAATCGATTGATTCGTTTATCTACATTTTATGCAGATTAGGTTTAAGTGAAGCAACTGAGCGACTTCCTGATAGATCATACTTCCAGACAAAACCTTTAAAATCCATGATTATTTGTAATCACTGGTCAGTTTGAGAGTAGAACAAACAGCAAACAAACAAAAAACAAAAAAAGAAATGCGGGCACAGAATTTTGTTGACTTGGTTTTAAAGAAGCAATACCCGATTTATTTTCTAATGAGTTCATAAAAATGCTTATTACTACATACAAGTTGTGTTATAATCTGTAATTTAATGTAAAACTTGAGCTCATTGATTCAGCTGTGTATGTTTCAGGCCGTGAAAAGTGCTGAGTAGAGACTTTAGCGTGACGCCCGCTCTCCTCCAATCACAGACAAGGCTGCGTCCTCTAGCCTCTACAGCGCTGCTAAACACAGTAGCATGTTAGCATAAGTGGCTATAACTCCTCTGGCTGTAACTGCAGACACAACAAAACAGCCCGAACCACACAACAGTGAGGAAGAGAAGAGGGAACTAAAGCAAGAAAATGATCAAAGAAGAAATCAAGCCCTGAACAGAGCTAGCTTACATCGTATCCTCTGGAGAGACTTGTCTATGAGAGAGACCTGCGGGACCGCCTCGGACTATCTATGCTCGGACTATCTGCGCTCGGACTATTTATGCTCGGACTATCTACGCTCGGACTATCTGTGCTCAGACTATCTGCGCTCGGACTATCTATGCTCGGACTATCTATGCTCGGACTATCTATGCTCGGACTATCTGCGCTCGGACTATCTGCGCTCGGACTATCTGCGCTCGGACTATCTGCGCTCGGACTATCTGCGCTCGGACTATCTGCGCTCGGACTATCTGCGCTCGGACTATCTGCGCTCGGACTATCTGCGCTCGGACTATCTGCGCTCGGACTATCTGCGCTCGGACCATCTGCGCTCGGACTATCTGCGCTCGGACTATCTACGCTCGGACTATCTACGCTCGGACTATCTACGCTCGGACTGGACTATCTGCGCTCAGACTATCTATGCTCGGACTATCTATGCTCGGACTATCTGCGCTCGGACTATCTGCGCTCGGACTATCTGCGCTCGGACTATCTGCGCTCGGACTATCTTCGCTCGGACTATCTGCGCTCGGACTATCTGCGCTCGGACTATCTGCGCTCGGACTATCTGCGCTCGGACTATCTGCGCTCGGACTATCTGCGCTCGGACTATCTGCGCTCGGACTATCTGCGCCCGGACTATCTATGCGCCGGACTATCTATGCTCGGACTGGACTTTCTGCGCTCGGACTATCTGCGCTCGGACTATCTGCGCTCGGACTATCTATGCTCGGACCATCTGCGCTCGGACTATCTGCGCTCGGACTATCTGCGCTCGGACTATCTGCGCTCGGACTATCTACGCTCGGACTATCTACGCTCGGACTGGACTATCTGCGCTCAGACTATCTATGCTCGGACTATCTATGCTCGGACTATCTGCGCTCGGACTATCTGCGCTCGGACTATCTGCGCCCGGACTATCTGCGCCCGGACTATCTGCGCCCGGACTATCTGCGCCCGGACTATCTGCGCCCGGACTATCTATGCTCGGACTATCTATGCTCGGACTATCTATGCTCGGACTATCTATGCTCGGACTATCTATGCTCGGACTATCTATGCTCGGACTATCTATGCTCGGACTATCTATGCTCGGACTGGACTATCTACGCTCGGACTATCTACGCTCGGACTATCTACGCTCGGACTATCTATGCTCGGACTATCTGCGCTCGGACTATCTGCGCTCGGACTATCTCTGCTCGGACCATCTGCGCTCGGACTATCTGCGCTCGGACTATCTGCGCTCGGACTATCTGCGCTCGGACTATCTGCGCTCGGACTATCTGCGCTCGGACTATCTGCGCTCGGACTATCTGCGCTCGGACTATCTGCGCTCGGACTATCTGCGCTCGGACCACCTGCGCTCGGACCATCTGCGCTCGGACTATCTGCGCTCGGACTATCTGCGCTCGGACTATCTGCGCTCGGACTATCTGCGCTCGGACTATCTGCGCTCGGACTATCTGCGCTCGGACTATCTGCGCCCGGACTATCTATGCTCGGACTATCTATGCTCGGACTATCTATGCTCGGACTATCTATGCTCGGACTATCTATGCTCGGACTATCTATGCTCGGACTATCTATGCTCGGACTATCTATGCTCGGACTATCTATGCTCGGACTATCTATGCTCGGACTATCTATGCTCGGACTATCTATGCTCGGACTGGACTATCTGCGCTCGGACTGGACTATCTGCGCTCGGACCATCTGCGCTCGGACCATCTGCGCTCGGACCATCTGCGCTCGGACCATCTGCGCTCGGACCATCTGCGCTCGGACCATCTGCGCTCGGACCATCTGCGCTCGGACCATCTGCGCTCGGACCATCTGCGCTCGGACCATCTGCGCTCGGACCATCTGCGCTCGGACCATCTGCGCTCGGACCATCTGCGCTCGGACCATCTGCGCTCGGACCATCTGCGCTCGGACCATCTGCGCTCGGACCATCTGCGCTCGGGACCATCTGCGCTCGGACCATCTGCGCTCGGACCATCTGCGCTCGGACCATCTGCGCTCGGACCATCTGCGCTCGGACCATCTGCGCTCGGACCATCTGCGCCCGGACTACATTCGGACGCGGAACTTGCAGTAATCTTTTGGTTATATATTTTGTTAGCAGTGCGTTGCTTTTGTACCATTTAATCAGTGATTGTTGTACAAGTTACAAGAAGTTGTGCTAATGCTAATGTTAGCATATGTATCAGATCGCAAATAAAACTAGAAGGCTCCGTGGAATGAGAGCGTAGGAGAAATGAGAAGCCTGTGAGCGAGTTGAGGGGCGGGGCTAAACATTCAAAACTTGCAGAAACGGGTATAGCTCCTTTAATATTCGGTTTTATGCCATAACAAGAAATATAGAATGTTCCATAGTAAAGTTTTAACAGTTTTATCCTCCAAAAATCTCTATCCTGTCACTTTTAACTGAAAGTTGGAAAGTTTTGATTGTTAAATTGACTTTGAGACTCTTGCTCCAAATTTATCATTATTAGGTTTTTTTTGTCATTTAAGTTTTTATCAATTTATTTATAAAAAAAAAAAAATACACAACTTATGGCACACTCAGGGTCTCTTTATGACATTTTTTTTAAATAGAATTTTTAACATTGACAGGGGAGTACATACACATTAGTTACTTATACAGTGGTTACATAGTTTATGCATATATATAAGTGTGTGTGTGTGTGTTATGACAGGATGACAGCAGTGATAAAATAGAGGGAAACGTGATATGGTTAAATGAATAAAAAAATAAAAAAAATAGTTAAAACAAAGATGATAAAATGTGCATCCATAGAATCTTGTTTCTTGAAAATTTAAAAGAAATGTATCCAAATCGTACTGGTTTTACTCTGGACTTTAGGTTTTTTAGCGATAAATGTCTCAAAGGCAGCGTTCTCAGGCAACAGTCTTATTGTTGCACATTCACCAGCCATAACTTGTTTATCTTCAGATGGCCAAATGTTTTCTCCAACTTTATCTTGTCTGCTCCGAGCCAGAAGTCCGTCCCTCCTCTTCCTCCTCCTCTTCCTCCTCTCCTCCTGTTCGGACCAGACGCTGCAAACCCGTTCTCCATCTGTGAGGACGTCTCTCTATAATCTCCATGATAATATCTGCTGTTCACCTGTCAGCTCGTCTCCGCAGAGTCTCGGCAGAGTCTCCGCAGGCCGCCGATCGGAGCCAGTTTAAGCTGCGATGATTGCCTTCGTCTGCTGCGCATTTTGTCTTGTTGGAAAATTGGTCGAGACGTGAGGAACATTCAGAACAGACAGATTCAAGTGGGTTGTTTTGGTGCAGGGTTTAATGGTAAATGTTATTATGACATTGTGTGTGTGTGTGTGTGTGGGTGTGGGTTGTGTTGTTCCAAGTACGACAGCTGGACGGGTCGAGTTATAATTTTAGGCCACTCTTTAGTTAAGCCCTCCCGTGTAAACAGCTAGTTAAGTGCTACTTGGTGAATCATTTGTAGATGCAGTAAGGCATGTTGTTAGCTTAGCCGTAGCACCAATTGGAAACCACTCCCCTCCCTCTCCACCAAACCAAGCATCCAGCGTTTTCTTTTCTTTGTCACAACAGGGAGAGTGGGCGGCAAACGTGAAATTGGCAATTTCTGTTCAGCCATTTTAGGTTTTAGAAAATCCGATAACTCCGGTGCACTCGCGAGAAACAGGAAGTAAAGGCATCCCATTGGTTTATTTTTAACGGTCCGTTCCAAAATATTTTTTATAAATTTTTGGAGACTATTGGCATCTGGTCAATTCCAATACTATTTGAAAACACATGATTACTCGAGTACTTTTAGGGTTTAGGGACGTTTTCCCAAAATATTAAAACAAAAAAGCGTCTTGAAAAAAATGCGTGACTGCATCTTTAATTGGTATTTATCAAGTACTTATTAGTCCATTTTCTACATGGCCATATTCAACATTACTAACTGCTAACTGACGCCTTCTCATATGAGTTAGAGTTAGGGTACGCTAATAAGCACAAAACGGGATATAGCAGGATTTTCTTCTTCCGGGTCGATCATGAAGACTATTGGTCCTAATTGTCGTTATTATTCTGGTGATATGTGACTGGAGGCCGCCGTACACGCTGGGTTCTTTCACACAATGGCGTGCACTGAAAGCCCACGTTTAGCTTCACATTGACGGCCAGTCCACACCTGTACCGTCATCTTCTTGGAACGTGAGCTTGTGAGAGCGATGCCAACAGTGACTTGTAAACAGAGCGTGCACGAGGAGAACTGGGTTTACGGCAGGACTCTCGCACACGTTTTAGTAGACTATAATATTGATAAAATCTTTGGTAATAATGGCTTTAATCAAGTGGTTTTATTCTAATTTTAGCACATTCTGACTGTCTTTAACCAGATTCACCAATGGGACAAAGCCATTTAGTAAAAATCAAGAAATGTGGCTTTTTTTTCTCATTCTAAGGGAGACATTTCTTGTTGTTTTAAGCAATTTTGAGCAATTTTATATATTTTTTCATAACTTTTTGCAGTGCCTAAATAATGATAAATCACAATAGTAACTAGAAAAGCACCCGTAGAGCCCAAACTTCTGCCTAGAGTTGTTCCAATCGTTGCAAATAAAAATCCTGCATCCAGCCAGAGATTTGAGAATCCCCATCGTCAGTTTGTCACTGCGCCAATAATTCTGTCCAAATCCTCTTAATACTTTGGGAGTTAAGTTGTTCACAGATAAACAAACAGTCAAACTCCGGTGATCACTTTACCTCCTGGACAGAGGGCTTTACTTCATGCACTTGTAAAGTCTCTCAAAGCCGCACTGAAGTCCCTATTCATTCACTCCAGTCTCTGCGATGACAGAAGGGAGGCAGCTGTGGCCCCGGCCCCTCCCACCACCACTCGCTCTCTCACAGTTGTAATGCTGCACGTGGTGGGTGTTGGTGGAAACCGGAGCACCTGGAGGAAACCCACCCGATTTAAATTTTTTATTTTCAAAACTTTTGTAAACTCAGTGTGATCAAACCTACAACCTTGAGAAACAGACCTTTCTTTTGAAATGTTCTGTTCGACAGCGCAGTGAGAGGCGCCTGTTGCTATAGTTACTCCTCTGAGCTAAAGTTACCCCTTAACTTAAAGCTTAAATTCATTGTTTATTGTTCTGTCTATTGAGTAAATACAGTAAATTATACACTACCGTTCAAAAGTTTGGGGTCACATTGAAATGTCCTTATTTTTGAAGGAAAAGCTGTAGATAACTTTAAACTAGTCTTAAAGAAATACACTCTATACATTGCTTATGTGGTAAATTACTATTCTAGATGCAAATGTCTGGTTTTTGATGCAATGTTGTAATTGCTGCAAATGGAGGATTCTTTGACAAAAACAAAGTTGGATGTAAAACAAATCTTATTTAAAATACAAATCATTATTTCTAACCTTGTCAATGTCTTGACTCTATTTTCTTTTCATTTCACAACGACGGTGGTGAATAAGTGTGACTTTTCATGGAAAACACTTGGGTGACCCCAAACTTTTGAACGGTAGTGTATATAATATGTATGATTTTTTTTTCATACATGGAAAAACCCTGAGACAAGCCACAAAAAGAGGAAGGGCGAAAACTATAAGGTTTTATTACACGGCTCCTCACAGCAGCAGAACGCTCCATTGATTTGAATGTAATTTCGAAAACCATTATTTTCTATAATGGACCTCTCAAAACAATAATGACCACTGCCCTTTGGCAACGCACTCTCTGCTTGTCTTTCAGATGCGTGGATAACTCCGCAAGTAGTTCCGGCCACTCCGGAGCTAGCCACGCTCAACCAACACACTTAAATGTTAATCGGAGAATACTTATACTTATACATTCTTCACACACGTGCACGGAGATTTTCAGAATTTTCTGGTCTTGTCTTCATGACAAAAATACTATTTCTCTGCGTCAAAAAGCGATCGTAAAAAACCCGGAAGTAGTTCCGGCCGCTCAATAAACACAAATGCCAATCAACCAACGCAATGAAATGTTAATCGGAGAGTAATTTATACATATCCAGTCTTAATACAAGTGCACGGAAGTTTTCAGAATTTTCCGTTTACGTTTTCATGACAAAAACACTGATGTAATGCGAGAAAAGGCGATCCCGAAAAACCCGGAAGTAGATACCGGCACATTTTCGGACACATTTGCAGAGGATCGAATTATGGATTTAGGTTAAGTTTATGTTTGGGTCACTCACCGCTGATGTTCAGAATTCTTTGTTCAGTTTTCATGCAGTTCCAGAGAGTTCTAGTTTGGAAGTTGCCAGCCTAACTGTTGCTAGCATAGCCACGGGAAAGCCTTTGGGAACTATTTTATTTTCTTTCTTATTTTAAATAAACCTTTCAGCATTCCTAAAAGTGGACTGAAGTTTATGTTGTGTGTTCTGTCGGTATAAAGCCGTATAATAAGCGGGATAACGTATAGTACGCAAGTCATTATCGGAAAATAAGTACCTTCAGGACGGAAGCAGACCCCTCCGCTACGTGTCGGGGTCCGCTTCGCCCTGAAGGCGGAATAAATTCTCGACCCAGTTTATTGATGAGTCGACTGAATAGCAGTGGGCGTTGCTATGGAAACTAGAACATTTTTAGGCATAAAATCCCAACAAAACGATGAACTGAGAGTCGGAATATCAAAGTAAATACCTAAATATTCTGCAAAATCCATAGAGCAAATGAGCAGTTGTTCCATATAAAATAATTAGTCAATTAACAGCCGGAGACATATCACTTCTATTCCATTTTCTACAAATATTTTTTCCCACTTAGATTTTTGTATTTCTGCACAGATTATGAGGAGAATCCAAATACAATATGTCACTAATGTATATCTAAACTCCATACAGACCATTTCATATTATTGGTCCTCATCCAATAAAATGCTTTTCAATCGTTTCAGGAAGCGTTTTCGTTCATTTTCACGCTTTCTCCACAAACTGCATTCTTTCCAGTTTAAAACACAATCTCACATTGGAACCACGACCCCCTCCACAAACCCTCTCTCTCTCTCTCCACCTTCTCCACACCTTCTGGACTCATACTATTTGTCTTTCTCCTGCTTCTCTCTGACCTTTCTGTCC